CAGCATAAATTTAACACGGTCTCCATGTCCACACCTACATGAAAGTTTAATACATGCAAGTAAACAGTAGTACAGCAGCTCATGTTTACTTTTTACTCTCTTTTATTCATTTTGTATTTTGTTCTAGGCAAAATCTGATCCAAGTCCAGAGCTATTAAAGAAGCTGACACTGATACAAGACCAGGCTTCCACCTACTGAACCAGAAAGAAGCGCGAGACAGGTCTATGAAAAACAGAAGGAGCTACAATGGAAACTTGAGGGATGATACACGAGGCTTGATGCTATGAAGACTATTTCCTGTACAGGTTGAACAGACCTACGCTGACTGGAAACACTCCTGTTTAAGTGCTCCTCTAATAAATGTAGAACATTCCTAGTAGAAATACTTTCACAAAATCCCTGAAAATGAAGAATTTACATTAGTGAGCTGGGTTTTGTGTGTTTAGATTTACCTATTCATCCAAGGCTGCTTTACCTGTACTACACAAGGATGTTTCTATTTCATTAAAGACTCAAACTGTGTGTCCTAAAACCCAATGAGGGCATAACTCCAACTCTCCAAGCAGCTATGAGGCTACAAATGAATGGCCGTTACTACAAGTGAAGCTCAGTGCTTTTGATCACAAGGTTGTCAGTTCAAATCCCAGGACTGCCTGAGAGCTGCTACCTCTCAACTGTCACATACTGTTTATAAGTGTTTACAGTACAATAAAATTATTTTCACAGCATATCCTAGGATGTTAGTATGATGGGCTGAGTCATGATACAGTGCCCCTGGAGCAGAGAGGGTTAAGGGAAGTGGTCTGAGTTGAACTCACAGTTGTCCAATCAGTAGGCCAGGACCTTAATCAGGAAAGTACTGTTTATCAGGAAAGTACTCTCACTTCGACAATTTTAATTCTGGGGGTGAGGCGTGGCGTCTGTGGGATATGTACGGATTATACGTTAATTCGGTCATCTTCAGTAACCGCTTTGTACTGGATTTTTGGAATACTGGGCGCGAGGTGAGAATACACCCTGGATAGCAGGGTGCCATGCACACACATTCACACACTCATTCACACCTAGGGCCAATTTTAGAATAGCCAGTCCACCTACTCACATGTCAAATTATAGTATTGGCGTTGCCATTTATATAAAACAAACATGCCAGACCGTAGCTCCTGCTCAAATTTAACCCCTAAACCCCTTTCTCAACCACGTTTCATATCCACCATTCCATTATAACCTCTACAATACATAAAATCACAACTGCTAAGTAACACAACACGCTTTGAGGCATGTAGAATTATATTCCTGAAACAAAAAGGCTGGAAGGAAGGTACAAAGAGGCATCTATTGCTTTTCTACTGGCTGCAGATTTGAAAACATTTGAAATGTGAACGATTGAGACCGGCTCTTTTCAGTGAGTCAAATTATTTGGCTCAATAAGTGCTGACTCTTTCAGTTCCAAACATTTTTTTTTCTTAATGCGGTATTATGAACAGTGATTCTTCGTCTTTGCACAACTACGGCTTACATTGTTTCGTGAAATCATAATCTACCTTCTGATTAACAAAATAACATCAAGTCGCGTTGCATTTGCACTACATAAGTAAGTGCACTGACAAAACAGGAAGCAAAACAGTAAGCATCTCTGCATCACTCTTATTCTGCCTCCTGTGTCTGTGTTTCATTAACAAGATTTATTTCCATTTTTCCTCATAACTGATCATCTCCCCTAATACACTTGATTACATACAGTAGCCCACAGCCTCAACAAGCAGCAGTGCAGCGGATCCTTCCTGTTTCATACACACAGCTGAGAGTCAAACACCATCACATCATCTACACTAACGATCAGCTCAGCCAATGAAACAAGCTTTACATGGAAGCATTTCGAGTGAATTACACTGCAAAAGTGATGGCATTTCCATTAAAAATGTATATAAGTAAAAATATATATGAGTGGATATATATATAAGTATAAATATATATGAGTCAGCTTTTAGCTAACACCTGAGAGAACCGGCTCAAGGAGTCAACTCGCTCGTGAATGACTCATCACTAGTCGATCAGCTCTTCGACGTGAAATTTGCATGTGCAACTTGCATATCGTTGAAGGTTATGTTTATAGGTGCAGCTGGATTTTTTTTTTTTTTTTTGGCTGTACAAAGCTTAATGTTAAAAATGGCCTCGCTAACATCAATACGACAAATCCATCATGATGATGGAGAGAAAAACAATCCATTAGAAATGTATCCTGAATGTGAATTTAGAATTGTTCACATTGCTATAAAACAAAAAGGAAAGATCCCAGTGTTGAATAAACTGTACGATTTCAATCAGTACTCTCTGTCTGAACTCAATTCAACATGCATTCATTCAGCACTGAAGATATTAATTCAACTCTATAGATTCATTCAAGACTGAAGCTCAGAGCTGGGCGATATGACAATATAATATCGATATATAAAAATGAGTAATGGATTAATAATTACAGTAAGAAAGAAGCAGTGGATTGGGTTGTAAGACATATTTTTGTACAGATGCTTCATTTATCATTACATTTCAATAAAATGATTATTAAACCCTTATTTTTCAAATTGTGGTGCTACTATTATAAGCAAACCGAAAATCTATAATACATGTTATGCATCATAAAAATCTAAAGATTATTTTTGGCTCCTCTGCTGTAGGTGTTCATTTAACACTTGCGTTTTTTTTTTTCTTTCATGGCAGAACAAACTGAATTTAACACCAGTCTAATTTGTGTAATTTGTGTAATTTGTCTAACAGAGTGTTAGGATGGTGCGGTATACGGCAGCTGACACGATTCCCTCTTAACAGGCTCCCTACTGCTAGCTGCGAGGGTGCTACATTAATAGGGTGGTTTGGAACAAAGCCACTTCAGGTCAGCTTGGATTATATTTCATCTATGTGACATTTTCATGAAGGTGAGCTAATTAAAGCCTGGGTTAAGGTTAGAATAGTGTGTGGGTGTGCATGTGTTACACTGGATAAACTGTAGTTTAGTGTGTAATATTGTAATAAAGCAGGTTGGATCATGTTACACCTTTTGGGACTTGGTAAAATATGACATAGAGGGCAAAAAAACAGGGGAATAGGTGTGAAATACAGACTAAGGGTTTGGATACAGGCACCTGAGGTGAAGAAGGATCACGTGACGTTATCAGTATCTACCATATTACCCTGACATTGTTATGAAAATATATGAACCACAAAGGTTAGGAGTATAAATGAGCCAGATTTAAGGTAAGGTAAGAGTGCTAGAGCTAATCAAGGTTCAGGAAGCACAAAAGAAAGAGGGTTTAATTAGAAATAGGACACAGCCACCATATTTGTGGCAACTTGTAGTGTGACTGGAATGCCAAAATGAGCCCTGTGTGTGTGTGTGTGTGTGTGTGTGTTGTGATCCATGTGGCCACTGAACCCAACAAAGCTTTAATATAGGCTTTTACAGGTTTCAAAACAGCTGTCAACATCTGTCGCTTAGGCTTTTTAAAGTGCCAGAGTGCATGTTTGCAGGAATTTTGAAAGCGTATGGCGATCTGGGTGTGATCGTTTTGTTGTGCAAGAACTACACACGAGCTGAACAAATGCACACACACACACACACACACACACACACTCACCCGAAATCCTGGTCCATGGACTTGAAGAAGAATTTGTAGCTATTGACGGGTCGATTGCTGAGCACATTTTTGAAGTCCGCGAGCGTGACTCTGTCGGGAGAAACGGCGAGTTTGACTAAATAAGGAGTTTCCTCCTCATCGATGTGATAGATGATTTTCGTCTCCGCCATGAGCGCGCGCGCCTGCGACACTAATCATTGACAGGCGAAACAGAAAGGCGTTCCGGCTAGACGACGACGACTAATAATTCATTTAAAGAAACAACAACAACAATAACGACAGAGACAGCGACAACAGCAGAACAAGTCGGCGCTAGAATGGCGACATGGCTCGGGCTCGGGCTCGGTATCACGTCGGAAAGCAAATAAGCTCGCCTCTGTGGCGCTGGACGGCCGCAGACATACTCCAGCGCTGCGCGTCCGGCGCTACGGCGTCAGTGTGACTCGCGATACGGCAGCGCGGTCAAACAGGAAGGGCCGCTGCTTCAACACCGCGGCCGCGTCCCAATCCGCACACTACCCTACTAAATACTACGTCAAAACGCAACGCCACCAGGGGTTACCATAGCTACCATAGGTGGCGTTTTTTTTTTTTTTTTTTTGACTTACTATTTAGTAGGGTAGTATGCGGTTTTGGACGCAGCCTCATTCCAGCGTTAGGCGACGTATAAATAAACAGAAGGGACGTGCTGCCCTCTAGTGGTGGAGATAACGCATTACAGCTGCTTTTGTCTGGAGAATTAAAACCACAATCAGGGGATTTTCCACAACAGCAATCCTGAAAGGTCTTTTTTTTTCCCTGTCTGAACTCTGGAAGAGTGCAAGAACTGGGAAAAATCCCCATAACCACACACTTTCCGCACATTTCACAGTGAATTAAGGGATTATGATTATTTTTGATTTTTGGAAAGTATGTGCTTCTAAACTCTGTGACATTTGCACAAAAAGTCTCTGATTGTAATATAGTTTAGAGTCACAGTGGTGGAAATATACACTATACACTCTCAGAACAGGGGTTACTTACCCAGTAGCCTTGTCACTGGGGTGCTACCCTTAAGCGTACACCTTTGGTACCTTTAATATGTATCTTTTAAAAATGGCCATGCTGTAGTGTACCTTTAAAACTTTATTTTAAGAGGTAATTATCCATCCACATTCTGTACCACTTATCCTACACTGGGTCTCAGGGCACAAGGCAGGGGACACCCTGGACAGGGTGCCAGACCATCACAGGGCACAATCACACACCCATTCACACACTATGAGCAATTTGGAAATGCCAATCAGCCTATAAGGCTTGGTACTGGGGGAGGAAACCCGGAAGCATGGGGAGAACAGGGAGAACATGCAGGCTCTGTGCACACAGGGTGGAGGTGGGATTCGAACCCCCAACCCTGCAGGTACAAGGCAACCATGCTAACCACTAAGCCACCACGCCTGTCAATTATGTATCATAAATCTTTATGTAAAGGTACACTAGCTCCACATTTCCAGGTGAATAATACATATTAAAGGTAAACAAACAAACAAACAAATAAATAACTTTTTTCCTGAGAGTGTAGTTATTAGTCTATTTGACTGGTAACTTGAATTGAATGGGTCCAGTCCAACCCTCAATAACCAAAATTTGGACATAGTGTGTTCTGTTAATCCATGGAAAGTTTATTAATGAAAAGGTCTACTGCTTTAATAAATAGACAAAATACACTATGTGACCAAAAGTATGTGGACACCTGACCTTCACTGATATGTGTTTCTTCCCCAGACTGTTGCCACAAAGTTGGAAGCACATAGTTCTTTAGGACGTCTTTGTATGCTGTAGCATTACAGTTTCCCGTCACTGGAACTAAGAGGCCCAAACATCTTCCATCATGACAATGCCACTGTGCACAATGCGTGCGCCATGAAGACAAAAAAGTGTGACAAGGTTTTTTTTAGGCCTTTAAATGTTGTAATAATAATAATAATAATAATAATAATAATAATAATAATTCATTATTATTATTTATTACTATCAGAATATCTTTTATGATACACTTCTATTATGTTGCATAAACATATAGGCCTATGTAATATGTAGTCTATGTACATTCCCTGGCCATTTTATTAGGAACACCCATACCCTCGCTCATTCATGCAATTCTCCAAACAGCTAAGCATGTGGCATCACACCAATGCGTAAAATCATGTGAATACACATCAAGAGAGAGCTTCAGTTAATGTTCACATCACACATCAGAATGGGGGAAGATGTGATCTCAGTGATTTTTACTGTGGCATGGTTGCTGGTGCCAGACTATGACCACTGTAGCCTCAGATTCCTGTTCTTGGTTGACAAGAGTGGAACCTGATGTGTTCTTCTGCTGCTGTAGCAGATCCACCTCAAGGTTCAGTGTGCTGTCCATTCTGAGATGCTTTTCTGCTCACCACAGTTGTGAAAATTGGTTATGTGTGTCACCGTAGCCTGTCTTGTCAGCTCGAACCAGTCCGGCCATTCTCCTCTGACCTCTCTCATCAACAAGGCATTTCTGCCAACAGAACTGCTGCTCACTGGATGTTTTTTTTTTTTCTTACCATTTTTTAAACTCTATAGACTGTTGTCTATCATTCTGGCAGAGATTTTCATGCCTAGGAGTTTCTGAAACACTCAAACCAGCCTTTTTGGCACCAACAACCAGGCCACAGTCAAAGTCACACAGATCACATTTTTACCCCATTCTGATGTTTGGTGTGAGCATTAACTGAAGCTGTTGACCTGTATCTGCATGATTTTATCACTGTGCTGCTGCCACATAGTAAATTTATGGGTAAAACTTTACTGAAGCAGGACCCGTGTGAAACAGGAGGGGTTTAATGTCTGTAACTGTCTGAACAGCAGGGAGCAGCAGACGCACATCACACTCTGCACACATTCAGACTGATGTTTTTAGGAAATGACCTGAAATGCCATCACAGCACCCTGAATAAGAGAATATCTAATATTACTGCTCTGTGAATAGAGAAGAAAAAGAATTATTACAGTAAATCTAGTGAGAGGGTTTTTTGGGTTTTTTTGGTATTTAACAGATTTTAGTTTTTACTTTTTAATTCTGGTGTTTTCAAACTTATTGCAACCAGGGATCCACATATTATTGTGGGTTTTTTTAATGAGTGACCAGTCAAACAGGCTGATAACTAAATAATAAATAATAATCACTCTGATAATAGTGGGCTGTGGAGAAAAAAACAAACTAATCACAGCCCCTAATTTGACCCCAGGTAAAAATGTTTTTTGATTATTACCCAGCTTCCTGAAAAACAAAATCATGTTAACCATTAATGGTTACTCTTAGTTTTGTAGTTGTTATTAATGGTATTTTGTGTTTTCTATATGGGTTAATATCACAACATAAATAATCCTAATGGTTTAACCATGACTGATTCTCGAAAGGGGCATTCATTTTAGATTATTTTCCATTCTAAGTGTAAAATGAGCTTATTCCATGACATCTTCCCAAATAAAATGTGGTGGTAATGGATACAGTTAAAACGTTTTTTTTTTTTGTTGTTGTTGTTGTCGTTGTTTGTTTGTTTGCTTGTTTGTTTTTTAAAGCTATTTTAAAGTAGGTAAAGCACAACTTTGTTTAATAGAAAAAGTCATTTGAGGGTTTCACTGTTTAATCATGAATTTACATTACAACACAATCCTTAAAAATAGTATTTTGTTATATTTGTGTATAAAAGTATACTGTGTAAAAGTACAGTGTGTATATTTTTATTTAAGAAAAGCCTCTAGCAGGATATTTCATTATAACCAGAATGTGTCTTAGTCAAGCTGTCAAGATGATCTAATACTACCAACAGCTGTTTCAGAAATTCTACACACTCAGCCCTGTGTAACATTATTTGTTGCATGTTGACAATATGCCATATATGAATCAGATGAGACCTGATTACAAGCAAAATATAGATTAATTCTGGTATTTTACGTCAAAATGTAGATAATGGCCATCATATGACAATTCTTGTTGCATGTCTATGGTGTCTTGCATACATATACACACCCTTGAATTTTTCCACATTTTGCAGTGTTACAACCTGGAACTGAAATGGATTTAATTGGCTCATTGCACAGACATTACCTTGTTCTTACTAATACTGTTCCTGCATTTCTGGTTCCTTCACTGCACTCACAATGGCACTATTTAAGAACTCCAGAAGATGAATGTCAATGTCCTTCATCAGGTTTGTAAGAGTACTTCCAATCTCTTTCCATCTAGCAAACTGGAGAAAAGCTTCAAACTGTATGCATCTTCATGCATGCACAATAACAAAGGTAAGAAAATAGATATTTTATACTGTATTTAACTCAACTTATATAAATGTAGGAATAATATTTAGAGAAACATGAAGGATAAATTGCTGTCTCAGTGTAGTGACAAATGTAAACAGTGCTGGCGGGAACATGAGAACCGCACTACTTCTAAATAGAAATGCGTCATAGCACTGAATGCATGCAGACCTTTGGGATTATATGTCATGAATTTACAGCAAAGTTGCTTCTCTGATTAATGCCCTTCTCACCCGGTCACTGACGTTTGGTTGATGGCCTCCTCTAGGCAGAGTCACGGTTGTGCTATATTCTTTCCATTTTTTTTAATGATCTGTTAACTCTATTCAACTAATTATATGACTTCTAATGGCAACTGGTTGCACCAGAACTACTTTAGGGGATTCAGAGTGAATGGGGGTGAATACTTATGCAGTAACATCCTTTATGTTTTTATTTGTAAATATATTTTGCAGGCTATATAGTTTTTCCTCCACTTCAACATTATGGGTATTTTGTGTAGATTCATGGCATATAATCCCAATTAAATCCACTTCAGTTCACTACAAAATGTGGAAATGTTCAAGGGGAGTGAATACTTATGCAAGGCACTGTACATAAGGTGGATGAAAATTAAATGACATTACCAATATTAACGGCATAAAGACTAACTCAAGCGGATTCCTTCAAAAATGTAGTTTATTCAATTCGAATGCCATGTTTTGTACAAAGCCCTTCATACCAGTAGAATCTGCTCTGCTTGTTTGCAGCCATTTCAGTTTCAATGCTGTTTCCTAAAAGCACTGCGTAATAAAGCTGTAATGTCACCTAAGACCTTATGAGTCAGTGTGTTGTTTCTCAAAAGCCCAAAACTGAGTCATAAAGATCAGCGTCGTATGAGATCATCATTGCAAACCTGGGCCATACTAAGAGAAAATAAATGTAATAAATGCAATCTAAAGATACATAGCTTCCTCAAGTACGCGTAATGCACATTTCTAGGCCTAATTAGAAAACAGAACGACAATTCTCTCTGTGTGTCTAGCTCATGTGGCAGGATAACAAAATTGCATAGTGCTGTGCGCATAAACAATAAAACTAAATAAAGACAGGCTACCAAATGCTTGGAAAATAGCATAAAAATACACAAAATATTTATGTACACATATGAAGGAGACATGAGAAGTTCATTCCACTTACATAAGTACATATAGCCCTGGAACCACAAATAGTTAACTTCCTGAGTGTTTCTTAATCAGACTTGCTCAGACACATTTCATTTCAGTAAAAGCAGTCAATGCTTTTCTTCTAGAACGTTCCATCAGGTGAGCTCAGGTTAGCAGGGCGAAACTGTTGGTGAAACTGCCATCAGTATCGATTTACCTTATTGCTTTCATTGCATTTGTTTTCACTTGTTATAACAGATTACAATCATAGCACACTATATTTATACCATTAAACATCGACTACTGACCTTTAAATGACACTACACAAATGATGTTGACTTCAAGGAAAACGTTTTTTTGTACAGATCACTGCAATTCTTTACATTAGAAACAGACAGACTACAAGCATGTGGGTGTTTAGACTCCTCCTGTTAACTGTACAGTAAAGCTCCATTGTGTACTCCTGCAGTTTTCCTGAATCCTGTAGAGCATGCCCTGGACCAGCCAGCAGCCTGCCATCAGTTACTTCCGTGAAAATTTCTCCATTTCTAGTAAAGAAAGAGAAACAGAATATGAGAGAAAGAAAGAAATTGCACTGTTATTTATCCACAACTGACCTTAAACTATAATCACCTCTGTTGAGATCGATCTCTTTCGGGGCACAATAGTTGTTCATCTCCACCCTCTCTTTCATTATGTTGTTCTTGTAGTCTGAAAAAAAAAACAGTAATAAGAACACCTATTTGTAGACCAACATGTAAAAAGAACTCTTTGCACTATAATACAACTAAAAATGTTATTTAATAACTTTGCCTAAGTTGTTAGCTTAGCTAGACATTACATCTCCAGCAGAAGCTAGCCAACTCGGATAACATGCATGTTAATGTTAGCCTAAGTATTATGTCATGTATTTAAACCAAGCACTAGCAAGTTAGCTAACATGAAGGTATGTTATATTGAATA